AAATATAAAATCTTTAAAGTAAAAAAAAAAATAAATTGTAGACATTAATGTCATTTCATTTGTAAATATTTCAGAATGTATCTCTAAAAGAGATAATTCCTAAAAATATGTAGGACCATTTTCATACTGAAAAACAATAATTCCTTAATATTCAGATTGTATATTATACTATATAATAATTTCTTAATATTATAATTAGTATTCACATTTTCCTGATTATCATACACTTTTACAGTTTGCTTGTTTAAATTGGGAGTCATTCAAATAAGATGATAGATAGATAGTAGATACATGAATGCTTGATATCGTGATTGGTTGGTTATGTCTCTTAAGTCCCATTTAATCTATAAGATCCCCTTCCATCTGTTTTTATTTCTCTTTGCAATGATTTTTTGTTGTTGAAGAAACTGCCTCATTTCTCTTGAAGCATTTTCTACATTCTGTAGTTGTTGATTATATCCTGTGATTTTTAAAATGTTCCCCCAGAACAAAGCAAAAAAAGAAAAGTTCTGCTGTCCCCGTAGTTAGATGTAAGTCGGTAGTTAGATGTAGATCAGTGCTGTTCAATAGAGATGTAATATGACCCACATGTGTAATTTTAAAAAGGTGAAATTAATTTTAATACTATATTTTGTTTAACCCAGTATATCCAAAATAGCTGTTCGATGTGTGAACAATATAAAAATTATTGATGAGATATTTGACAATCTCTTTTTGTACTAAGTCTTCAAAATCCAGTATCTATTTTATGCTTAAAGCACATCTCAATTTGGATGCTAAATTCCTCAGAAATACTCCATCTGTATTTAGATACCTAAAATTTACAATTGCAAAAGGAGAGCCACATCCCCAAGTTGTTCCAAATATACTTAAAAGTTTTCCAGTAACTGAATTATTAGTTTTTAAAGTTAAATTAATCAAAGTTTAATAAAATTAAAACTAGTTCCTCAGTCACACTAGCTGCATTTTTTATGCTTGATAGTCATTTGTGGCTAGTGGCTACCTTATTGGGCAGCTCTTATCTAGAGGTTTGATTAGATTCAAGTTTCGGGTTTTGTTTTGGCCAAGACTGCCTCATAAGTGGCACTGTTACTTCCATGAAGAGGTTTGTAATGTCTGGTTGTGGCTCCTTTTGTGCAGTTTGCAGCCATGATCATTGCCTAGATCCGTTAATTTATGGGGGTTGCAAAATGGTGATCTTCTTATTCCATCATTTCTTCTTTGTATAGCTAGGATACTGTGAAGAGAAATTTCCTCTCATCAGTTATTTGGTTACCCTGAGGTACGGTTTGTATCGGAAAGGCAGATATATTTCCTTGATTCTTTCCCTTTATTTACCAGTTGATAGAATAATGAGTTAGTTCTTTGGCATTCTCAAGATTTGTCCACTGAGTTGTTTTCATTATGAACTTTCAAGTTTAAACACATTTGTTGTGTTGTACTCTGTTGTGGTTATTATCCTTCTTATTGATCAAGTTTTCACATCTTTGGCCTATGGAGACTCATTCAAGTTGGCTTCTGAGTCATTTTGATATCTTCCTTGCTTTCCGGTATGTCCAGGCTCATCCTGTACATTTCCCACCCCAGACCTGAAATTAGCCATTTCTCTGAGAAGCTCTGACTTCTTTTAGTGGGAAATGCTATTATTTAGTGAGTACCACCTGGACACTGGAGTGCTCATGACTGCTGGGTTGCTGACTGCTTCTAGAACTTTTCAATAGTCTGGGCTATGAAATGCCTTTTTTTTTTCTTTTTTTTTTGGTGAGGAAGATGGGCCCTGAGCTAACATCTGTGCCAGTCTTCCTCTATTTTGTATGTGGGATGCCGCCACAGCATGAGTTGATGAGCGGTGTCTAGGTCTGCACCCGGATCCAAACCAGTGAACTCTGGGCCACTGAAGCGGAGCGTGTGAACCTAACCACTACACCACCGGGCTGGCCTCAGATGCATATTTTATTTTGAAGGAAAAATGTGTCATGAGTTCGTATTGATACTTCCAATTGAAACTGTAATTTTCACAGTTTAACATCATTAATTTCATGTTTTGAGTCTCCAATTATTCATGCTACAGATCTTGGTTCCTGGCAACACTAACATAATAACATTTACTTTATCTTATTCTGTACATAATACTTTGAAAGTCACAATAAGTTATTATTAGTAGCAATTTGATTATTGAATGCTGTTTATGATTTCCTTGAGATTCTTTTTGTAGTTAAGCTAATGGCTCATTGGGCATGTACAGTCATTTTCCTATGTTTTAAAGTAATTTGAAAGAATTCTCTGGGTGTTTAACCAGTTTAATATATAGTCAGGTTTCTTTGTTGTTGTTGTTGTTGTTGTTTTTTAATATATATTACCTTACTACATCTACAAGTAAGAGAACCTCTGTTTCTTTTTTTTTTCTTAAAGATTTTATTTTTCCTTTTTCTCCCCAAAGCCCCCTGGTACATAGCTGTATATTTTTAGTTGTGGGTCCTTCTAGTTGTGGCATGTGGGACACCGTCTCAGCATGGCCTGATGAGCAGTGCCATGTCCGCGCCCAGGATCCGGACTGGTGAAACTCTGGGCCACTGAAGCACGTGAGCTCAACCACTTGGCCACAAGCCCAGCCCCAGGTTTCTTTGTTTAATTTCAGTTTTTAAGAGATTGCTCTTTTTGGCATTTTGATTTATTGTTTCCAACTTCCGTTTTGAAAATTTTCAAACCTACAGAAAAATTGAAAGAATAGTGCAGTGAACTCTCATCTGCCTTTCACCTTAGATTCATTGATGAATGTTTTTCCAAGGTGCTTTCTCGCTCATCTCTCTTGATTCCTTCCCTCTGCACTATACACTTTTTTTGTTTTTTTCTGAGCCATTTGAAAAAAGTTGCAAACTTCAACTTTAAATACTTCAGCATGCTAAGAACAAAAGATTCTCCTCCATAACCTCAATTCCATATTACACCTAAGAAAATTAATAATAATTTCATATCCAATATCCTGCCCATATTCAGATTTCCCTAGTTGTTCCTAAAGTGTCTTTATAGTTGTTTGTTTATTTTTAACTATGATCCAGTCAAGATTATTGTATTGCTTTTGGTTCTGTCTCTAGTTTCTTTTAATGTGGAGCAGTCCCCTCACCTTTTTTTCATGACATTGATCTTTTGAAGAGTTTACATGTTGTCTTGAAGAATGGATATATTATGGATATGTTAGGTTCCTTTCATTATTACTTAACTTATTCTTCCTACCCTTGTATTTCCTATAAATTGGAAGTTTGCTCTAGTCTGGAGTTTGGATCTAGTTTGATGGATTTGGGTTAATTTTTTGGTAAGAACATTCCATTCGTGATGCTTTGTACTCTATATTGCATCACGCCAGGAGGCACGTAATGTCAGGATGCCCCACTGTTCATGATGCTAAGTTTGATCCTCAGTTAAGGTATCAATTGCCAGATCTCTCAACACTAAACATATACCTTTACCTTTCTAAGTAGTAAGTAATCTTTAGGGTGATTCTTTGGCATCTTGTGAATATCTTGTTCCCTAATAATTTTTTACCCAGTAGTTTTCACATTTTGATTTAATTTTGTTTTATAATTATGTAAAATCTTCATACAGTTCTAAAACCAAAAGTATAATGCGAGGTACATGAAGAGGAATTTAGCTTCCTTTCCTGTCCCTTTTACCTCCCTTCCTCCATATGTAACCAGAATGCATAACCTGCCTTCTGCATGGGAGCAGGCTCCCAGACCCCCACTCAGTAATTAGTTTTTGGATTATCCTCTTTGTGCTGTTGTGCTTTTAAAACACAAATATGTTCATATTCCCTATGTTAGATAAAAGATAGCATCCTATTGTGTACCTTTCATATTTTACCTATAACATATCCTAGAGACCACTCCATAGCAGTGTATAGAGATCTTCAGAAATGCTTTTCTAAAATGTATATATATTCATGTTCTTCCTGTGCTTGAAGTCGTTCAGTGGTACCTCACCTCCCTTGGGATAAAGTCCAAACCTCTTACAAGGCCTAAAAGACCCTTCATCATCGGGCTTCCAGCTGTGCCTCCAGCCTTGTCTCTTACTCCAGCACACATGCGCGTGGGCCTGTACACACAATTGCCACTATTGACATGTTGAATTGCCTTTTTTTTTTTTTTGCTTTTGAAGTTTATTAAGTTGATTAATCTTTTGAATTGCTTTGAATTTCTTGAATGAACCATGAGCAAACCTCTGGTTTTGCATGTGATGCTCTTGTCTGCATAGAAGACTGTTCCGTCTCTCTGTCCTTACTATTCATCCTATAGGCCTGAGCTTAAGCATGTTCCTGGAATCCTTCCCTGTCCCCAGAGTCTGAGTTAGTTGCACTTCTTATGTGCTCACCCAACACTGTTTATCATTGTTTTGGTATTTACCATACAGTGTTCTGATTGTTTACTTACATGCATTCCTCTGTTAGTTCCTGAGCTCTGTGAGCACAGGAACCATGGCTCACAGGATATGAGGGCCCCAGTACCTGGCACTTGGAAGGCATTCAATAAATATTTATTGACGAAAAGTGACAGAAAGGCACAAGCTCAGACATGCATTGCAATATCCATAAGACCTAAAACTAAACTCAAGTGGAATTTGCTCAGATGTAGTGATCTGAGCAGAAAATGTGGGTTTCCTTATTCATTGTGGAGTCCAAACCAGCCTGTGTGGGAGCCTCTAGGTCACCCTGGGATGGTGCTGGCTCATGGCCTGGGCTTAGAGCCAGAGAGGGGCACCACCAGCTGCTCCTCTTGAGAGATGGAGAGATTGACAGGGCTTGTGGGAAAGGCTAGAGCTGTAGTTTCCAAGGATGGACAGAATAGTTGCTGTAGGTAGGACCTGGTGAGAGAAGCTGAGCTGGAGAAGAACCTGCCTTCTGCATGGGAGCGGGAACCAAGGACCCCACTTGGTCAAGCATCTCTAGGGGGGCCTGGGCTCAGGGGCCTGGCCATTCTTGATGTTGCTGGGCCTGGAGTTTACAGGATGCCCAGGCCGAGGAGGAGATCAAGCAGGAGATGAACACACTGCAGCAGAAGCTAAATGAGCAGCAGAGTGTGCTCCAGCGTATTGCTGCCCCCAATATGAAGGCCATGGAAAAGCTAGAAAGTGTCCGAGACAAGTTCCAGGAGACCTCAGATGGTAAGATTTCCTCCTTTCACTTGGGCCTAAGATGAAGGCAGGAGGCTGGAGGCGTGACAAGGGCCTGTTACATATCACAACAGCTCCCGTTTATATATGCTTTCTTACTTAAAACTTTCAAGAACCCTAAACAGTAGGGGTTATCACACCTGTTTTATAGAGTGGAAAACTGCTGAGGTTCAGAGAGGGTGAATGACCTGCCCAAGGTCACACAGCTGGTTGCTGGTAGAACCCAGGGAAGAATCCATGTTTGTGTGGCTCCAAGCCCATGTTTCTTCCTCTGTGTTACATGGCCGGCCCACTGGATTCAGGTGGAACCATCTTCCTGGGACCCTCCCCAGGCATTCCTCTCCCTCTGTGGGATGTCGCTGCTCTGTGGATTGTCATTTGCAGGTCATTTTTGCCAGGGCGTGGTCCTCAGCCTCGGCAGAACCTGGGCTCTGAGAGATCACCTGTCTCCCTTGTGACAGAGTTTGAAGCAGCTCGGAAGCGAGCCAAGAAGGCCAAGCAGGCATTCGAACAGATCAAGAAAGAGCGCTTTGACCGTTTCAATGCTTGTTTTGAATCTGTGGCCACCAACATTGATGAGATCTACAAGGCCCTGTCCCGCAACAGCAGTGCCCAGGTAGGCTGGAGCACCTTACCCAACCAGCCCCTACCATCTTTACTTACCCTTCCCTCCGGGCTTCCTGTCCCTGTCCCCACCCAGACCCAAATCCTGACCCTGACCCATCTGCCTTCCCCCTAGGCATTCCTGGGCCCTGAGAACCCTGAGGAACCCTACTTGGATGGCATCAACTACAACTGCGTGGCTCCTGGCAAACGCTTCCGGCCTATGGACAACTTGTCAGGGGGGGAGAAAACAGTGGCAGCCCTGGCTCTGCTCTTTGCCATCCACAGGTAAGGCTGTGTCCCCCAGTGCTGTTGGCGGAGAGACTGAACTGAGGCCACTGGAGGCTCTAGGGCCCAAGGATATGCAGAGATCTGCGGAGTTGAAGATGTTCTGGTGGAATCTGGATTGCGTCCTTGTTTCCCTACCTACTACAGCATATCTGGCCTTGGTTTCCTGGACCTGTCTTCCCCATCCACCCTCATCCACTCAGCATGCCCTCACTGACGCCTGCATGTATTCAGTCCCACCGCCAGGCATTTGTTCACATGGTTGCTGGCTAATAAGCCCTTCTCGTGCAAATCTAGCTTGACTGTCACCTACCACTCCTTCACATCTCATTCTCCTTCTCCTGTTCCTCTAGGAAGCCTGCTTTGACCACTGTGGCATACCTTGACTTCCCCATCCTGAACGCCAATAGTACTTGAATCTGACCCCCACAACTTAGTGCTTGATTGTACAGCATCGTTCAGCAAGCATTTTTTGAGGGCTGCTGTGTACGAGACCCTGTTGGGAGATTAGGGATACGGATGAGTCAGACATGGTGTCTGTCCCTGAGGAGCTCATGGTCTAGTGGAGGCCAGATGTATAAACAGATAGGGAGCTAAGTGTTGTAACTGGTTGAGTGTGTGCTGTGGATACACAGAGGAGGGACATTGACCCAATCTGGGGGAGGGTGCGGGTGGCCAGGGAAGGCTTTCAAGAGCAGGTAACACTTGAGCAAGAAATACAAAAGATGAGTAGAAGTTAGTCAGGGAGACCAGTAGGTATTCCAGGTGGAGGGTGTGGCATGTGTGGAGGCAGGGAGACATAATAGCATGGTGCAGGTGAGTGCGGTGGGCCTCTAGGTGGCTTGGTCAGTACGGCCAGAGCCTAGGACAGCTTTATGTCAGCCAGCCTGGAAGCTCTGGAGAGGACTGTCTTCTCCTGGTTCTATAGGATTCTGGAGCACAGGGCTGGATGCAGAGGAGTGCTCAGTTGATGTATTAGCTTTTAAGGGCTTGGGCAACATTAAGACACCTGGGTTTTTTAGTCTCTGAAATGGAGGGGGAAGCTGGCCTGTGTGATAGGCCCTGGGGGCCTGTCCCGCTCTACCTCTGCCCCCATCAGTATCAGCTCACCTACTGGTTCCCTCCCAGCTACAAGCCAGCCCCCTTCTTCGTCTTGGATGAGATCGATGCTGCCTTGGATAACACCAACATTGGCAAGGTGGGTGCAAGGAAAGTGGGGCTCGGGAGGGAGGCCCCCAGGTCGGGGCTGGGTTTCAGGGAGCAACTCTTGAGTGTGCCCTAGCCGTTCCTGCTGCCTGCTCTCTGTGCCCGGGAGGCTGGGCCGAGAGTCATCCACACTGTACGAGTCAGTGCCTCCTTTCAACCTCTCTTCTGCCCACCTTCCACCCCTCACCCCACCCCCTCTGCCTCTGGTTCAGACTGAAAAACACAAGGGAGTGTTAGGGCTTCAGCCCTGCTAAGTGCCCGGCGGCCCCTTCCACAGGTGGCAAATTACATCAAGGAGCAGTCAACTTGCAACTTCCAGGCCATCGTCATCTCTCTCAAGGAGGAGTTCTACACGAAGGCTGAGAGCCTCATTGGAGTCTACCCCGAGGTAGGGCGGGCCTGGCTCAGGAGCCAGCCCCACTCCCTACCTGACTCCCCAGGGCAGGAAGGGATGGCTGCAGTGGAGGGGCACTGGGGCGGGGGAGCATAGGGACTCAGGTCCTGAACAGACATCTGGGCTTGTTGGAGCCCTGTCCTGGAGGCTTAGCCAGCCCAGCTGGACAGGACCCTTGCATTTGGGGACAGGTGGAAAGGCCAGGCAGAGGCAGCCAGACAGTAGAGTGCAAAAGCAAGAAAGTGCAGAGGTAGGCAGGGAGAGAAGGCACAGGGGGCCGGGCACATCCTCTCCCACCCAGAGAGAACTGTTGCCTGGGCTTTGGGCAGGTATGTAGGGAGGAGGGTTTGAGGCCCCCAGTCCCAGGGTGCTATACCCCTCTTAATTCTCTCCTTACAATTTCATTTTTCTTTTTCTCCCTCCTCCTTCAGCAAGGGGACTGTGTGATCAGCAAAGTCCTGACCTTCGACCTCACCAAGTACCCAGATGCCAACCCCAACCCCAATGAGCAGTAGCAGTGGTTCTGCCCTCCCGCCCTGTCTGCGTCCCTAAGCTGCCCCTCTCTCAGTCTCTGGATATTTGGCTCCCAACCTTCTCCTACCTCCTGTCCCTGTTTGGTATAGCCATGAGATTTAGGCACTGCTATCAAGCATGAAGAGGAACAGAGGTGATGTTAGATCTGGGACAAAAATTCCTGAGTTACAGGGAGCATCCTGGCCTCTGGAAGGAGGTGCTGTGCTGAGCTGAACAGGGCTATCTGTCCATCCCCCACTTCCCCTCCCGGACCTCCCCTCCATCACCCATAATCATGGGTCCCTTGGGCCCCCTTGCATTTTGCTTGTGTGTGTATGTGTGTGTGTGTGTGTGTGTGTGTGTGTGTGTATGTGTCTGCATGTGAGCATGTGGGTATGTTTGCAAAATAATAAAGATATTGGAGACTCATTTTAGAAGGAGCCCAGACTGAATTTGATTCCAAGAGAGCTTAGTATGACAGCACCCCAGAGCTGGGCAAAGGCATTCAGGACCTCATAGGAGTCAGGCGGTCACATGAAATCACCCTCATTAACTCATTTGTGTTTTCATTCATTCGTATATTCATCAAACACATACTGAACACCCTGTATTTGTCAGGCTCTATGCTAGGAATACAGAGCTGAGTCACACATGATCTCTATCCTCCTGCTAAGGAGATGCAGTGGGTTCATGAGTTCCCATGGTTAGCTGAATCGTATGTATAGGTACTTTGGATTTGAGAAGAGGATCATTACCTCCAGGCTTTCTGGAGGTCACATTTGAGCTGGACTTTGACAAATTGGTAGGATTTGGTCAGGCACTAGGAGCAGAGCCTGGGCTCTGGGGACATAGAGTTGTGGGTTCTAGTCCCATTTTTTTGTCACTGTTTTGACGTTGATCGAGTCATTTGACCTTTCTGTGCCTGTTTCCTCATCTGTAAAATGGGGTTAACAATATTTACCTACCTCATAGGATTTAATGATGTCAAGCTCCTCACTGGAGGCCTTATCCCTTCTTGGAGCCCACTAGGTGCTGACCCCTCAGAATGCAAGCTTTCTCATGCCTGGACCCCTGAGGGCTTCTGATCTCAGTTGTTAGGGACAGATAGAGCCTCCAGATCTGGGAGATGCCAAATGCCCTGGTTCTTGGGAAAGTTCCAGGGCATGATGGGGGTTTAGGGCCTAAGGAAGGCTGTAGCTTCAACCATGTATGATAACCAGGTGCCTGGGCCCCAGCCTGGGTTATGAGGAAGTAGGGGAGAGGTAGCCTGGGCCACATCCTGACCAAATGCATGTGACGTTCCTTTTGGGAACTAACCACATTAGTTGCAGGAGCTGTGCAGAGACAGCACAACCTGCTGCCACAAGGTCAGCCTTTGCCCATTCACGTACACCATCAGCCCATCACCTTGTCCTGCTCTGTATACTGCAATTTTATTTTTTAAAAGTTAAATCAGTTCTAATTACCGAAGTAACGCATGAATCCATTCTCTTTTTAAGAAATTAGATTGTTAACAAATAAAGCTAGCCTCATTTGACTACCACTCCGTCTCCCCTCCCCCTCTTAACTGCTGTTATGTTTATTGTATATCCATCTAGACTTTAAGACTTTTACATATATGAGTTCATTGAAAATATTGTGTTTAATGCAAATGGTATATTGAATTCTTCTGCAACTTGCTTTCTTTGCTTAACACAGTTGTTGAGATCTATGTTGCTAAATGTAGATGCAGTTCATCCTTTGTAATTGCTGTATAGATTGCTGTCATGACTCGACCACATTTTACTTACCCATTTCTTTTGTGATAGTAAGACTGTTTTCTGCTCTTGCTATTACAAAATGCTACATAGGAGCATCGTGTGTGTGTGTGTATGTGTGTGAGTGTGAATGTGAGAGTGAGAGAGAAAGTTTACCTCGGGTTGATTCCTGGAAGTTGAATTGCAGAGTGATAGGCTATATATATATTTCCCCCCCCCCCCCTTTGGTGAGGAAGATTGGCCCTGAGCTAACGTGTTGCCAATCCTCCTCTTTTTTGCCTGAGGAAGACTGTCACTGAGCTAACATCTGTGCCTATCTTCCTCTATTTTGTATGTGGGACACTGCCACAGCATGACTTGATGAGCTGTGTGTACGTTTGTGCCCAGGATCCAAACACGTGAACCCTGGGCCACCAAAGTGGAGTGTGCGAACCTAGCCACTATGCCACCAGGCCAGCCCCCTTATATTTTTGTTTTTAATGGATGCTTGCAAATTGCCCTCCTGTACTATTTACTCAGTATTTTTCTTGAGGTTGTCTTGGGTCTAACATTGTTATCTACTTCAGTTTTATCCTAGATAGTGATATCCATGAACCCACAGGTTTGATGTGCTTATTATGTATTTTTTCTAATATGTATTAAAAGGCATAACTACTAAAACAAAATAAATTTGTCTGTGTTCAACCAAAGAAGTCACATACCACCAGTGGTACATGTACTGTAGTTTTGGAAATGCTGGCATGTGTGGAAGAGCACAATTTAGGAGTCACCCTGGTTCAAATCCTAGCTGTACAAACTTGAGCCCATTACTTCACCTCCCTGAGCCTCGGTTTCCTCACGTAGAAAGGGAAAGAAGATACGCCTACCTTGCAGCAGTGTAGGGAAGATGAAATATATTTGAAGCAATTTGGCTGGCACCTAGATCATCACAGGCCTTTAGAGGTGGCGATTGCCGTTCTCCCTGCTTTACTGAGGAAACTGAGGCCCAGGAAGGTTAAGTGACGCAGCTACCAGGTAACAGTGAGGTTTGAACCCAGGCCCTCCAATTCAATCTAGTGCTTTCTCCACTGTGAGGATGATTATCTACCTTGGCTGTGCACTGGAATCACTTGTAAAGCTTTTTCTTTTTCCTTTTTGAAAATTAAAGCAATCTGTTGACCGGTTAGAAAATAAAATAATACAGAAGGGCTTACAATGAAAAGCACCAGTTCCCTGTTGCACCCCCATGTTCAAAGGACGTGGAGCTCCTTGCTGTGGTCCTGCCTCTGGAAATCTAGTTCAATAGGTGTGGAAAATAATCTGGATAACTAATCCCTGCCTCACAGTGTGGAAAGGATTACACGCGATGCCTTGAGCTAAGGCCCTGGCACACAGGAACACAAGTGCTACAAAGGAGCTTCGAGGACCTAGGTCCTGAGGATCAAGGAGGTGAGATGACTTGTCTGAGGTCCCAGTGGTTCAGTGGCAGAGTCTAGACTTCAACTTGAATTTCCTCTATGCTTGCCCAGTGCTTTCCCACTGTGTCACACTGCCTTGTATCATCTCAGGGCAACATGTGCTCAGTGAAGGCTGTGCTCAGAGGACAGCAGACACCACAATGTGTTTCCAAGAGCAAGCTAGATCCGAGTAGGATCCCCAGGGCTTGTTGAAGGATGCTAGGTTGACTTCCTTGTACTTTGGACCCGGTAGCCTTGATCTAGGGAGTGGAACGGTATTCTACAACAGTGTCTACCTTAATTGGGCACTTTACTCTGAAAATCATGGTGTTTCTCACCAGGGACACAAACAGGAGGCAAATCTTTATCCTGCCTTTGGGGAGCTCACTGTCTAGTTGGGGAGGCAATTTATTAGACAGCCATTATTATACAGTGTGCTCAGTGCTCTGACAGGAACACAAAAAAAGGAGGGGCATCCAGCTTAGGGAGAGGTTCAGGGAAAGAATCCTCTAGTCTAGGAGGTGACATCTGAACCGAGTCTTGAGGCACTGGTAGTAATCAGCCAGCTGAGGAGGAAGTGGAAGGAATTTCCAGGTAGTGGGAACAGTATGCACAAAGACCTGAAGGCAAGAGACAGCAAAGCAATTCAGAAATACTGAAGCATAAAGTTTCCTGGGGTGGGAGAAGAGCAGCAAGAAGTGAAGCTGGAGAGGTGTTCAGGAACCAGATTTGAAGAGGGTCGTAAGAGCCTGGCTGCAGAGTTCACATTTATCCCATGGGACAGTGGGATAAATCTGGGCCCCAACCTCTAAAACTTCAGTTTCAGTAACCCTGGGGTGGGGCCTTGGAATTTTGAGTGCTTATAAAGGTCACCACATGACTAGGGTACAGCCAGGTTGGGAACTGTAGCATGAAGGCAGTGGGGGAGCCACAGGATGGTTTTAAGCAGGGGAGACTCTGGATCACATGTGAATTTAACAAGCCTCTTTCCGGCCAGACTGTGGAAATGGATTAGGTCAGGTGTTCATGCTGTATGCTCTTATGCTTGTAGTTTTCCTGTTGTTCAGTTCTTGCAGTGTATTCTATTTGCTTATTTTGTCTCTGAATAAGCTGTAAGCCCCACAAGAGTGGGCCTGGGTTGTCCTGCAACTGGTATATCCCCAGCAAAAGGCACAGTGCCTGACACAGAACAGGCACCCAATAAATAGTTTTTGGATGAATGAATGCATGCCTTTGTGAGGGAGAGAATGGAGACAGGGAGATTAGTTAGGAAACTGTGGAAAAGACCAGGAGGCCTGCTCTAGGGCAAGGGCAGTAGAAATGGGTTGGAGGTGATAAGATGTGAGCTGTTAAGGGAAGATGAACTGGATTTGGCGACTGATTATTGGATGTGAAGGGTGACTGAGAGCACAGAATGAGTCCCCATTAATAGCCAAGATTCCTGCCCTATCCCAGGCATTCTCCTTCCTCACCCATCTGAATCAGAATCTCCTTCCAGCCTCCTCAGCAACTGGAATTCCTCCCTCAAGTTAGTTAAACATTCTCTGTGTGCCGTGTGGTTTCCTCCTCCCTCCAGCCATTGATTCATTCATCCAGTTCAATAAATTTTGGCTAAGCACCTCTTGTGTGCAGTGAGGCTCTTCCAAGCCAGGACTCTTGACTCCCTGTTTCCTACCTCAACAGATGTTTTTGAGGACTTCCCCAGGTAAGACTCACGTCCCTTATATAGTAACCTAAAGTGAGATGCCCAAATGTCAGGCCTGTAATGGAACTTACAGGCTTTGTCCAGCCGTCTCCCGAGGCCCTTAGAGGGGAAGAAAGGTGCCCAGGGTCCCACTACTAGGAAGTGTTGGAGCCAGAACTGGAACCTAAGTCCCCTTTCCACATCACCCCTAGAGCTAGATTGCTCCCATTGCAGATCAGGACAGGCAGAAGTAGCCAGGGAGAAGGTGGGGCTTAGGTTGAGCCTTGAGGGTTGACGTGCTGGGCAGGCCAAACAAGAAGCTTGCCAATTACACTGCCCGCTTCTGGAAACCCTCAGCAAACCTGCCATGCCCACAGTCCCTTCTGAGGAGTTTCTTAAGCATGAGTTGCCATACTCTATACCATGTGACCTCACAATCCTGACCACAAATGGTTAGGTTGGGATAGTATCTGACTAAAGGGTAGCCAATCTCTAGGCTGGCCAGCAGCCTTTTAGGTGGACTGATGTAAGAACTCCGTCTCATAGGGATGGCCTGT